GTAATTGGCGCATATGCCATTAATTTATCAAATTATTAGTACTATCCATTTACCATTCACTCATTGCGAGTCTAACTCTTAGTTACCATTTTCAGAGGACGCGTCAAAGATTGCGCCATTCACTGACGTAGTTCTACGTCATTCGAAATTACGCCGCGCGTGCAATAGGGATTACAAACAAACATGGCACACGTCCCCCATCTCAAGCTTGTTTACTTCATGCATTTCAAGGTTTTCCCAGTATACCCGTACCTTTCTTTATGACTCTTTTTCCAGACGTGATGTTATTATCATTAATCGGCTATTCTATACTAATCATTTATTCAAACACCGGCCATCTGTTTTGGTCGAGCTATAACCGGTGCACTACAAAGACGCGCAGGCATCTTATTTATTCGAAATCATCTTGCAGAATTAATTTGTGGAGAGAAAACCGGACACGGGAATAAAATCCATATTGGTTTCAACGTCTTTGTATCGCTTTGTTTTTAGGGGCACTAGAAATACCCTAGACTCCAACTTCATGGCTTTGCTCGGGAAAAGTATTATAACCGTAATAATGCCACCGTCAAACGTGTAGTGCAATATCGTTTTAGATGGCCTGAATAAAAGTGGTTCTTGAAAGCCCTCTCCCCCTTTTTATCTTCGGGCGGAGGTGGACCTTTATGGCAGTACTAGCTGTTTGCGCCCGTTAAACGGGCGCTCTTTGCTGTGGCAGCCATTTTGCGTTCGTCAGCGGCATCAAACTTTTCAGCCTTTAGCTTCCGTAATCAATGAAATAAGCTAATAAATATCAAATTAAGACTTGACTGATTTAAATTTAAAATATTATATTTTAATTAAAAATAAGCTAATAAATATCAAATAAAGACTTGACTGATTTAAATTTAAAATATTTTATTTTAATTAAAAATATTGATTGATAGACTATTCATAAATTTCTGTGTTTGCGTGGCGAGCTTCTTTTCGGTCATTTTCTTCGCGTACGCAAGAAATACAGCTCCGTTATTCATGAATGAGGTATCAAGTTGACCGGGATCATTGTCCGAATACCTGTAAGAAACGTCAATGAAATATATCAACCGGTTCAATTTAAAAAAATAAAAATTCACTTCAGCTCAGAAAATACAGCATCTGCTGCAATTACGGCCGGTTTTAAGCCCCAGAGTTCTGGGGAAGAAAAGGGCTAGAGATAGCTATGATTACTGATTAATTTTTTTGCATTAAACATCACATCCTATTTCTACTACATCACATCCTATTTCTACTAATATTCTAAAGCCTTCAAACTTCATGCATACCTTAAATTTCTGTGACCGCGCAGCGCAGACTCTAGTAATAAATAAAAATGATTATCGAAATTTAGCATACAACTATACATGGACAGAATAATCACAATCTAAGCTCAGGTTTCATACCTCTATAGATCTAGTCACGAAACTATATTGAAATATAGGGGCAATAAGAGCAATTTCAAAATGTTGTCGAGAATAGCTCAGCTCAGCTCACCTCACCTCACACACAGTCACAGTTCCGACAGTGCTCGACAACAGTGGCGCACTGCACTGCCCGTGCCTCATGGCAGCTAGCTTGCAACTGAACTGTCAGTTACGATGAATTTCTTGTGAAAACTTTACTTTGAAGAATGATTTTCAAAATTCAGTAAACATGAACAGGATAATACCAAAGTAACCCTGCTTGCATACCTCTATTCACGTAAACTATATATAAATCACGGCAATCATCATAGAATCAAAGACGAAGCGACTGAGCTGTGCGTGTGACGGTGAGCGTAGAATCATCGCATACATTATACACGTACGTTCGTACACGCAGCAGATCCGGCTGGCCTAGTACAAAGCATATCATATAAAAAGACGCATAACACGGGTAAGCCCAACCCGTGAGAGCGTGCATTTCTTACATCCCCTCACCCGGGTGAGTCATCTGTTAATGTGTATTTCTCTTACATGCTACAAAGCGTATCCTATAGCAAGAGGCCTAAACTCGGGGTAAGCCACAACCGTTACTACGTGATGTGCTACATCCATTGACAGAGTAGATTCTCGTCCGCTGTGTGTCTCTTTGTTGATTGCACAGAGGGCGGATGCACGCCTTGCCGACTCGCTCTCGCGGGTTCGTCGCCTCCTTGCAATCCGCGACGCCCGCCGTGCCCTCGTCCGCCCATCCTCCCCGGGACCCCGAAACCGCCTTTATCGACGTCGACGGCGACCGCGACCGAAGATCGAACGGGGACGTGGCCAAATGGGTAGATTAAAACGTCGTCCGTCCGCGGGACCGCCCGGCGGCGACCCGGGGCGGGCGGGAGGGGAGATTTGGGCGCTGTAAAATGGACCCCAGATACCCCCCTCGACGCCTTAGAGTATTATTATATAGACTATATTAGTTGCGTGGTATTCGCCCTACCCCTACCAAATATTCTTTGCTCGAGGTCATTACCCATTTGAGCTATACAGTAATCAGTATGCATCCTATCTCGGATTAGACGATTTAAAATAAAATTAAGCTGACTCAAATCGTATTTTGGTTACACTTGCTTTCTTTTATGATTCGCACTGTTAACACGTAACATTTCCTTATGTCCCGATTTGAGAAATTATGCTTCTTCGCTGATAAACTGGACCTTTATACAAGCAACGTACTTTTAAGCGATCTCATCTTTCTTTTTATGCGGGTGCTTTTCCGTTTGCCCTATGTATTTTTTAAATATTTATGTTACCATACATTATTTATCTGTCTTCATCTTTCTTCTCTCCCCTCTCCTTCGCCCCGGTGGTACCTAGGTTGATTGTAGTTCGTGTGACTTCCCATCTATCTACATCTACCTTCCCTCTCCTTCAGTTCCTCGCTCTTTCCTTCACATACTTCCATCTTCTCGCCCTTCCTTCAATATTTCTTCCGCTCCATTTCCCTTCCTTCCCTATCACCTCCTATCATGTCAATTACTTCCACTGTTGTCCAGCGCACTTTGCAAAACAATTTGTTGTGGTGAAAAAACCTCGACTTTTGCGCTGACATTTTCTTGAAGACCTCCACTCGACTTAAAGAGAAGATTGAGTTCTGGGAAGAGGTGAAAAATAATTTGTGAGCGTTATCAGTGTTATTATGCCAGTGTGGAAGAACATCAGATTAAAAATGTTCCCTGAATAGCATTGCTCGTCAGATGCCTTAATATTCTTAATATGGCATGTAACAGCATCAAAATCAGGACGGATTTTTATGCCACATAATTTTAGTCCCATATACATTTTTCTGTGTACAGTGCTTGTAACTTACCGACACTGGGCCATATTTCTTATCATGTTGATGATTCCAGAACCTTGCAGTACATACCAATGCTTATATGCTACATGATCAACCTTTTGTGATTGATTCCACACTGTTTCTTTCACAATGCAATCGCATAACCAGAACTCGACTTTATCTTTAAAAGTATTAGTCGATGAAAAAAAAAAAACGTCATGATATTGCCTCGCTTAGCTTGATGAAGCAAGACTCAGATAAATGACTGTCAATTGGGGGCCCTCGTAAATCTCCCTGTTTTAGTCGTGATATAGCGTCGAAAGACTCGAAAATAGGGCGAGACACATCACAGTAAATGGGGCACGAAACCGCGTCTGATCAGGGTAATGGCGAAACGGAGACAAGCACATCACTTTCAGTCCCCCGGTACATAACCTGCGCCCTGAAAAGACACGGGCCCATTCACACTCAGAGGATACGAACGTCCTAAGCCAACTGATCAGTGCCCTTTGCGCATGCACGAAGCGTCATTTCGATAAACGTTGTTCCCTCTGCTAATCAAGTCTTTGAGGACATTCGTTAATGCGCCAATAAGTAAACGCAGTGTTCGCACTATTCATTTTCCATTCACTGCGCTTACGATGCCAATCTCACACGATGCGTCAAAGACCTCACAATTTGACGCAAACATACGTCAATAAAATGACGCATCGTATTCAACAGGAGTGAGAAGAGAGCCATGCTCTAAATTAGAGGGCAAACTCGTTCCAAGAATGCCACTAGAAAGCACTCCGCGGGGCCAACTGAAGGAGGTATTTCGGCGGCGCCACCGGGTTACCCTTTGAGGGCCGCTGATGAACAATCATTCCGTAAAAAAGAATCCTTATATAATGGAGGGAGGGCACATGCAGTCTTTACGCCCTCTAAGACAACGCTCTTATTTCAAATGTGAACGGAGCCATTAGGAGTTCAGTTGTCTCTTCATATTTTGTCCGCATGTTTGGAGCCCAGAACCATGTGATACTGATAGATGGGCGCTGCGATTTCCTCAACACTGTAGAAGAAGAAGAAGACGAAGTGATCTCTCAAGTTTCAACTTTTGAGTGGATTGATTCGCAAAAGAGTGTTCGCAGGAAATGTGATGAACCCGAACATGAGTAGTGAGCAAAGAGAGTAGCATTCGTGTGAAGAGCAAGGGATACCTCTCAACTCTTCAAGCTCGTGAAGGTGTGTTGTCCAATTTGCTTCGCCCTAAAGATGGTCGCTCTGATATGATTTGTATATTAGCTTAGTTCAGTTTGTCTGTTTTTGTGTGTCTTACATGACTGCTAAGAAAGCATGTGATGCTTGTCAGTAACCAACCAGGGAACCGACGGCATTTAAGTCCTCTCCAAGGTACTTGGTAATGAGGTTAATGCCTTACCAAAGGGCACTACTAGCACATCGACTCGGTTTGGAATACTGGACCTCCCAGTAACGAGACAACTGCTCTACCACTGAGCCATCGTGCATGTTTGTTCCCCTTTCCCCAGGCCCCTGAAATATTACAATATGGTTTGTACATTATTTATTATGTACTATTGAGTAATTGGTATGGATACAAACATGAACTGGAAATGAAGTGCATATATTGAAGTTGATCTATCATCATGCTTTCAAACAAATGCATCCATCATGTGCGCTATTTTTATTCTATTTTATTCCATTTCCTTTTTCTTTTCTCCTTCTTTTTCCAGTAAATTTTCAACATACCCAAAGAGCACTCAGCTGGTTTAGTGAATATCCCTTCCAGGCATCGTTAAGGAAAAGGACCGAGACAGGTTTCGCATTTCTAAGGTAAATTAATAGTAGTTCGTCGCTTTATATATAAATACGAGGTGAAATTTCATTAATGTTAAGAGACCCGGAGCGAAAATGTGTAAATAACGAAGTAAGGTTGGGTAGGAGATAAAAGAGATACGGATCAGAAGACTCGAGATTCGTATGTTGGTAATGACGTATTGGATGAATTTGAGTATGAAAATGTATTCCCGTTCTCTTCGAAGATTACCATCGATCCTATTTCTCTTATTTCGAAGATTTTAAACATCATTAAAGATTTATGACGTGGCTTAATTGATATTGGATCTGTTTGTTGATTTTAAAGTGATAATCACCTGCAGTTTTTCGCACTTCAGATTAGAATCATTCTTAAGAGAGAAACACATTTTCCGATTTCTCTCTCCCTATATATTTACCTGAAAGGAATTGGGTATCTTTGTCTCAGATTCTAAACAAAATCCTGGATTTAGCTCATGCTGCAACGATAATTATAAACCTTTAGGTCTGATTATCAAGATATTTATGATTGTAATTCGAAATTTTACAACACTACGGTCTACTGGAAAAGATGAGTATGGTAAAACCGGTCACCCAAGATATTTACTTTTTTGAAGCACTTCATGATGATTTTGAAGCGCAATATTTGTAGGGCTTCAATATTACATCATATCACAGACGCTGATAACATGGAGGGCCATGCATACCAGATTTGGCATTGTTAAACAATGTCTTTAATTCCTTGCGAGTTGGAATAAATTTCTCAATGGTATAAATAACCCTAGAATTAAGGGTCGAACCATCTTCCAATACGGATTGTTTCAGCAGTCAGTGAAATGTATGATTTTCCAAGAATCGAGTCATTCGGAAGATTTATATCATTAGGAAAGATGGGTATTCATAAACCCACCATACCTTGCACATCTTCTATATTTATTTTTTTTTGGAAATAATAATGATAATATAAAGTGCTTTTCAGGACCGAAGGCCCTCTTAAAGCACTTTACAGATATTATTACCCAGGTCATCGGATTCAGGCTTACCCGCACACAATGTAAGAACAACTGTGCTGGGATTTTCATTCATTATATTCTTAGACGTGATGTAGATTATATAGATGGCCAATAAAAACAGAAGATAAATGTTTATGATGATGCAAAACGATTTTCGTGCCTGTTCCTGCGAACATACAAATTAGATGGGAGTAAGCAAATCACCGCTGCTTAATTCAACTTCAAACCAGGCACAATTGGTTTCCATCCGGCGGGCGCGCAGCATCTAACATTTAACAAAACGATTGAAGAGTCTCTTAAAGACGTCGTTGGTCGTTCGCTATCAGTGGTGATTTCCAAAAGTCTAAATCTTCTTTCATCGTGTTCATGTAGTTGAACGTGTAGATGATACCTCCGGCACACCGCCGAACCGATTCCAAACCAACCGATTTATTATCTCTTCAGAGTTGTGTCATTCTTTGTTCGGTCTGTTGTCGATCTGGGGGCATTTCACAAATACTAAGACCCCGTTCTCATTCACTTCGTTGGAGCGGTCTAACTAAGAGCCGTTCCTCAGGAGCAGTTCTTAGGTGAGTGAGAATGGTCAAAGTGGTCCAGGAAGTGGACTTCTGGACCGCTCCAGAAGACCACCTCGGGAGGTGGTCTTGAGGAACGGGTCTTATTAAGAGCGGTTTGGACCGCTCTAACGTGCAATGTGGACGGAAGCGTACTTTGGCCGGAAGTGAGCTAGTGACGTTCCGTGCAAAACATGTAGTACGGTACATACGGTTTGTATTCCGCGCGCGAAAAAAATGACCTGCTGACCTGAGCTCCCATAGCAACAAGACCACTTTGATTTGTGGAGCGGTTTGGGCCATAAAAAACTGCTCGGAGTGTGAACGCTCGCAAACCGTTCCTCAAGACCCGTTCCTCTGGAGCGGTCTAACTAAGACCACTTTCAAAGTGAGTGAGAACGGGGTCTAAGACCGTTTCACCAATACTGTTGAATTTGAACTATGACAAACCATTCATCCACTGGTAGCTCTTAGCAGTGGTCTGTCAAGGGATGTGCACATCACGATCACAAATATACAGAATAGACACTCTTTGATAGTACATTGTTGACGGAAAATACAAATTATGTTCTACTTAAGACTCTGACTTATACTGCCAAAAGACTTCAACCAGATGAAAAATTATCTCAAAAATACTCAATAAATTATGATCTTTACATCCTTTTTTTGTTACTTCAACAATGTACCATCAACGCATGTAAATTCGTGTAGATTGTTGACCACGATTTGCACGTCCCTTTAGGACAAATGCAAGGAATTGTGAGAGCAACCGTTGGCATGAACTGCCTGTCATAGTTAGACAGCTTAGCCTCCGACTTAAGTCGATTTTAGTCTTTGTGAAACTGAAACACCCCCGATTTCTGTCTCGCCGGTGTGACGGAGGTATAATAATTGAGGCAAAAACCGAGCGGTTATTGAGATGGGCAATTTTCCTCGCTCATTCTCTTCCCCCATCTTCCTAATTGCAAGAACCGTGGTTCAAACGCGGAGCGTGGATTTCTCGTCCTGAGTTTCATTAGCGTTTATCCCAAGATCAAGTATCAACTGAGAAGGATGGAGAAGAGAAAAGTAATAAAAGTCGCCTCAGTATTTTCAGAGATATTTTGTTTTATTTCATTATGGGGTTCTTGGTGATTCGTTAGGTTATGATGGCTTTGAGTTTGTTGATACTCCTGCGTCGTGTTTACAATATACAAGGATGGTGAAGAGAGAGAGAGAGGGGGGGGGGGGGGGAGATAGATAAAGAGAGAGTGAGAGAGGGGAGAGGGGAGGGGGAGGGCGTAATACAGTCGCCAGTTAATGTTTCTTCACGGATTTTCATCTGAAAATGGGATTCTGAAGGTTATATTGTCTTAGCGCTATTTGATACTCCTGACTCGCTTATTAAACTGAGGACGAAGAGAGAGAGAGAGAGAGAGAAAGAGATGATTTATATAAACAACGAATATATACATTTATACACATATATATATATATATATATTGAGAGAGAGAGAGAGAGAGATCTGAGATTACCGTGATGACATTTCTCGCAAAAGTCCTGCCCAAACTGGGTGAAACCAATTCGTTCTAAATCAAACTGATTCTTTAATTCATTTCCAAAGAATCTGATTTGTTACGAATCGAAGGCAATAAATTGGGATCTAGCGGGATGAGTATACACCGAAATGAGATTCCTAAACCTGATACTATAATCATGGACCTAGGTCCATGCTATAATTTATCATTTTTGAGATGTTACGAAACATTGTCATTACACACCTGTTGCATAAAGATAGCATACATAATATCGTGATATTACAATGCATTTTTTTCTCGTAAATACTGCGATCCTCACCAGTCATGTTCAAATTTCAATTAAGCCACACTGAATGTATATTTTTTGTCGGCATAGATGGGAATGTATACAAGAGGCCATTTTGGTAATGTAATCAAATTGAATACAAACATCTTTATTTAGTGCCTCGTTATAAATTATCTCATTCACCTGTTAGGAATAATTGTATTCCAATAGTCGGAATGTGAATTGCATAGATTAATTGTTGCTAGGTAGGACAAACTTATGGCTTGTCCACCCTAACAACACGAACATGGTCTACGGAGTACTGTGGGCCACACTCAAGTGGTAGCCATACTGTAAATACAGAGTATGCTTGAACATTGTATTACCAAACGTTTTAATTGTCAATTCTCACTTTGTGAATGTCCAAACTTCATCTTTGATAAGACAAAGGGTTCCCATTTCTTTTTTCTTCTTCTTTTTCTTCCTTTTAGGTAATGGTTTCTTCCGAAAAGGGCACCGCAATATATAAATTAACCTCATTTTGATAATCAAACGTCCTTTTAGGTAAGAGTATGCTTCAACATTTTATTACCTCAAGTTTTTTGTGAATGTCCATACTTCATCTTTGATAAGAAATAGGGTTCTTCTTCTCCTTCTTCTTCTTCTTCTTCTTCTTCTTCTTTTTGGGGGTAATGGTGTCTTCTGCGTATATCTTAACCTCGTTTTAATAATCATACGCCTTCACTGACGTAAAGTGTCTTATTAACTGATACGGAGGAAGATAACACCATTGGGGAAATTTGTTTTTGCAGAAGTCAATTTTAGAGTCTGCGAAACACAATTTTCAAGTTATCTTGGTAGCTTATGAACAGATCTGGCTTTGATAGAAACCTAAGCAGGATAAACCCGATAAGAACACAAAATCTATTTCTTCTTTCTTTCTTTCGTCTTTCTTTCCTGCTATATCCTTAACCCCTTTCCCAATACGACATAATAATCGCCTCGGCGTCCCAAATTTAATATGAGTGTTACGTTGCTGAGTGTGGGGGGAGGGCATGGCGATTATTCCAAAATCAAACGACCTAAGGCTTTCTCGTTATTCTTTCGAAAAGGCAGAATGGAGCTGCAAACCATCCTAACATAATTTGTTAGTTTTGCGGTATTGGTCCATTGAATTTTGTTCAAAAGGGGAGTGGGTGAGGGGGGGGGGAGGGGTTGGTTGTCATGAATAGGGCACGGTGAGACATGACGATTATTCAAAATGTAATTAACCTCATACTTTGTATCTCTTCAGAACATGCTGGATGAAGCTGCAAACCGTCGCATATTTTGTTGTTTGGCGACATTGTGAGCAATTCCCTAAATTCTGGTTTTGAGGATATCATAAAACTTGTATTTTTTTACTGAATGTGATATTCACTCAAACTTTAGTAGTAATATCCAAAGTGGAATGTTGAATAGCGCTCATGTCTGGCACATTACAATCATTACCCCAGCCTTATCAGGGTTTCCATTGTAGCTCACGAGCATTTGAAGGAAACAATCATACCAGGTACATATTTGCCTCACCTGGGTGTAGTGTGGCAAACTTTATAGATTAATGTCTTACCAAAGGACATTGGTGCTGCCGCAGAGATTCAAACCTCGTATCTGCATGTGGTTAACGGTCCGGATACTTATCCGCTGGACCGCAACACACCACAGTTAATTGAGTCAGATTGAGTCAGGCTTTCCTCATTTTCCACAATTATTGCCATAATCACATTTTCTAATAAGTCGTCGATAATTTCTTTCACAATGCTATTTTTTCCCTCAAAACCAATCACCGAGCATGGTGGAAAACCGCTATCATATTAACTTCAGGTATCCACCCCTTCGACTCATCTCGCTTTTACTAGGTTAGGCCAATTACATAGATCCAGTTCAACTTGAAATTGTACATTTCTATTCGAGTTACATTTATTCTAAAGAATGTCGAAAGACCACTTAATTTCCGCATTACCCCCTAATTGAT